ACCAGGACAATATAAGGAAGGATTTTACCATAACTCTTGAATTGGGAGATGCCCAAGGGGTATGTTGAACAATTTCTGAGAGACTAGGGGATTTAGAGACTGTAAACGTTGAGGATTTCGAGGTGAGTGTTCAGGTAGGGTAGGGTCGGGAGCTTTGAGTCCCGCGATAACCTCAGACTACATGGAGAGGCTTGGGTTTGGGGTTTAGGGTTTAGGGTTTAGGGTTTAGGGTTTAGGGTTTAGGATTTAGGGTTTAGGGTGTAGGGTGTTGGATTCAGGGTTTAGGGTTTAGTGTTACGGCTGGGCGCATCCTAGTGGTCGTACTGAGCTACAGTGGAAAACTACGGAGCTGGCTCATGGCACGAAGCACAAAGAGGTCCAGAGTGCATGCGCTGCCCGCCCTAAAGAGATTCCATGCTGTGTATCTACGTTTAGGGTTTAGGGTTCAGGATTTAGGTTTAGGGTTTAGGGCTGCTACTAATATTCTGCGCAAAGCAAGCCGGAGTTCCCTAGAACCGCTAAGAGCCCAACCGGCCAATCCCGAGCATACCCTCAGAGCCACGAAAGCTTGGAACGCTTGGATTCCTCTAAGCCCTGAACCCGAAACCCAAAACAATGCAAGAAAGATGCCCGCCCTTTCCAGCTTCAACCCTGAAGCCTCCATTTTATTGAAGTGCTTCTATCAGGATCTGCGGCAATTGCAGTTCCTGTTGCTATGAGGGGGGGAGACCACCTAACCCTGAACCCTAAGCGCCTAAACGCCCTAAACCCTACTCCTACACATTGCAATCCTAAACCCCTACACCCCCTAAACCCCAAAACCCCGAAACCCCTAAACCCTACACCCCGAACCCTACGCCCCTAAAGCCTAAACCCTACACCCTCGACCCCAAAACTCCCTGAACCCCAAGCCTCCCTGAACCCTAAACCCTACACCCCTAAACCCTAAACCCCGAAGGTTTAAACCCCGAACCTCCCTGAACCCCAAACCCTCCCCCGCCCCCAAATTTGGTCCTGCAGATCTCCTGCCAAAAGCTGAGTCAGAAGAGGCGAAGGCTGGGCTTGCCACCCTAAACCCCTAAACCCTAAACCCTAAACCCTAAACCCTAAACCCTAAACCCTAAACCCTAAACCCTAAACCCTAAACCCTAAACCCTAAGCCCTAAGCCCTAAGCCCTAAGCCCTAAGCCCTAAGCCTTAAACCCTAAACCCTAAACCCTAAACAAAATTTCGGGTTCCGGAGTTCGAGCTGAGGCGAAATCGTAGGTGCTTTCCGTCGTTTTTGCCTGGCCTTGGGTGGACGGCTGTGGCGGCTTTGATCACCACCCCTGCTGCAGATGGCGCCGTTCACCCTGAAGCACCAAGCGCTAAAGCCCTAAACCCTAAACCCTAAACACCAGAATCCCCAGTCCATGGACAATCGGTGTCCGACGCGCGCTCAGGGTCTTTGTGAGGGGCTTCCTGAAGTGGACGCCATTCAAAGGTTCGTAGCAGGATTCTTTATGATTCCCCCCCCAAAAATAGACAGAGGAAGAAAGCAAACAAATCAAGGTCCCCCTTTCAGAACAATTCCCTGACACGCCTTGCTTCAGCAGTTCGATGTCAAGAGCCGTCTAGTCTATCAACGACCCGAAAACCCAAAACCCTAAACCCCAAACCCTAAACCCTAAACCCTAAACCCTAAACCCTAAACCCTAAACCCTAAACCCTAACCCTAAACCCTCAACCCGAAATAGCCAGGTTTTCTATCTCAAGATGAGGGGGGACTATTACCGTGCCCCGCCAAGTCATGAGCTCTTGCTGGCGAGGGTTTCGGGGTTTAGGGTTTAGGGGTGTAGGGTTTAGGGGTTTAGGGTTTAGGGTTTAGGGTTTAGGGTTTAGGGTTTAGGGTTTAGGGTTTAGGGGTTTAGGGGTTTAGGGGTTTAGGGTTTAGGGTTTAGGGGGTTGTGGGGTTTAGGGTTAGGGTTTAAGGTTTGGGGGACTGGGGGTTTAGGGTGTAGGGGATTGGGGTTAGGGTTTAGGGTTTAGGGTTTAGGGTTTAGGGAGTTAGGGTTTAGGGTTTAGGGTTTAGGGTTTAGGGTTGGGCTTGGGATTGGGTGTGCAGCGTCAGCTCATGACACCCTGCACCCTAAATACAAAAGGTTGCTCTAGAATAGGGCTTCGTTTAGGGTTTAGGGTTTAGGGTTTAGGGTTTAGGAAGTTGGGTCAGCATCTCAAGTCCAAGCATTTCATTAGTAGAGCTCCTTAAATCGGTATCGAGTATCGACCGACCCACCCATTGGATCCCACCCATAACATTATGAAAGTATTTTACCTTTCGTCTTAACCTTACAACTTTAGGCCCAGTAGGCGGCCGCCCAGAGTAGGCCCTAAAGCCTACAGCCAGCCCAGAACAGGCCTTAAACCCTAAAACCGGGCCAGAGCCGGCCCTAAGCCCGAAACCCTAGAACCAGCACAGAGGAGGCCCAGAGTAAGCCCCAAAGCCCTAAAGTCAGCCCAGAGTAGGCCCGAAACCCTAAACCCCAAAGCCAGCCCACAGTAGGCCTTAAACCCTAAAACCAGCCGGAGGTGCTTGAGTGCCTGTCCACGAAATGTCGGTGCTTGTCCGCGAAAAGTCGGTGCTTGGCCGCGAAATGTCGGTACTTGTCCGCGAAATGTGGGTGCTATTTTCTGGCGGTTGTCCGCGAATTGTCGGTGCTTGTCCGCGAAATGTTGGTGCTTGTCCGCGAACTGCCGGTTGTTAGCCGTGAGTTATTGCTTGTTTCGAATTGTCGGTGCTTGTCCGCCAAAGGTCGGTGCCTGGAGTCCCGCTACCCTAAACTTGCAAAGCCCGTTAAACTTAACCAATGGTAGAACTTTGAACTTTTTGGGTTTCCATATGTAGAAGGAATACAAGAGTTTAACCCTTTCGTATTCTTTGTTTATTCGAGAAGTAGGTTAAAACCACCAGCCCTAAACCTAAACCCCAAAGCCCAGAAGCGCGCCCCAGGCTACTTGGCAGAGTTCACGGACGGTGCCCAGAGAGGCATTGTTTCCACGTAAAGTGGCCGAGCAACACAACCTTGGCACCCCGTAAAAACCTTGTAAGGTTTAGGGTTTAGGGTTTAGGGTAGCAGCAAGAACCACTCTTGCGAAAAGGTTTTTGGGGGTGTTGAGTTTTGAGGTTTTTGGGTTCTTAGGGTTTCCAGGTTTTTTGCAGGGGGCCACCCTGAACCCCAAACCCTAAGTTTTGGGGTCCTGAAGGGAAGGGCGTTTCATGGGGGCTAGGTACGTCGGGAACCTTGGGGAAGCTTAGAGAAGTAGTGGGGGGGATATTAGGGAACCGCGGGTTACATACCCTTGAAGCCGAAAACTCTACCCCCTAAACCCGAAACCCTTACGGACCCTAGGACCCCAGCAATCCGAGGGCCGCAAACACACCCAGGCATTTAGGGTTGGGGGTTTGGGGCAAACCCTAACCCGGTTCAAGCGCAGAATGTATGAGGCGACCAGGGCACCTTGGGCTTCTCCCCCCCTAACCCCTAACCCCTAACCCCTAACCCCTAACCCCTAACCCCTAACCCCTAACCCCTAACCCCTAACCCCTAACCCCTAACCCCTAACCCCTAACCGCTAACCCCTAACCCCTAACCCCTAACCCCTAACCCCTAAACCCTAAACCCTAAACCCTAAACCCTAACCCCTAAACCCTAAACCCTAAACCCTAAACCCTAAACCCTAAACCCTAAACCCTTAACCCTAAATCCCTCCGTCGTGCTTTGATTTTCAGGGAGGTTTGGTTCGGGAAGGGTGCAGTTTCAAGGGTGGGCACCCTTCTGAACCTTACACCGCATTGCCCCCGTGGAAAAGGGTTGTGGACTTATAGGGTTTAGGGTGTAAGGATTCCGTTGCGTTGCAGGCTCATTCGCAAACGCAGCCCATGACTCGTACGTGGCAGCGAATGACTTTCGGCTGGCAGAGAGTCTTGCGATGTCTTGCTTGTGTAACCCTAAACCCTAAACCCTATAAACCCCGAATCTAAGAGGGCTGTCGCCCACAGCCGGGCATGCCCCGTGCCGACCAGGCCCGGGGTGCAGGGGCGTTTAAAAGAGTTGTTTTTTAGGGTTTAGGGTTTGGCGCCCCTAAAAACACATCGACAACGCCCTTCGTAAGCCGCGTCTGGACCCGGATGTTGGCCTCCCAACCGGCTGAAACCCTCAACCCGCAACAGGGAGGGTGCGGGGGTGGGGGGGGGGGGGAGGGGGGGGGCCCCCTCCCCCCTCCCCCTCCTCTCCCTCCTCCTCTCCCCGCCCCCCCCTCCCCCTCCCCCCTCCCCGTGCATTTTGATGTGACTGGTGAACGGGAGTTCCCTCAACCCAACACGCCGGCCAGCGTCGGCGGACCCTAACCCCTAAACCCGAAACCCAAAACCCTAAACCGTTCATCGGTTGACGGCTAGCGGTCATCTCCAATGCTCTTCCCCAATCTTTCTATTAGTCTGTGCAAGGCATACCTTGTCGGATGGTCCTAATCTAGAAAGGTGTCCTCGAAAAACGAACCTTGCCCAGAAGAATCCGGTAATATAGGGGTCTTAATAGTTCGAATAGGGTTTTGTTTTTTCTAGTATACTTTTTTAGGGACCATGCGGGAATACTTTTCGTGATTATTCCGACCCCTTTGCTACCCTAAAGAGCTTGAATCTGGCCTCCACAAGGAAGTTGCAGTTTCCACGCTTCCGCCTGGAGCCTGGTGTGGTGCTTCGGGTTTGCATTGTTTCAGGTTCAGGGTTTAGGGTTTAGGGTTACCCCGCAAGGGTTTAGGGGGCAGTGCGAATCGTTTCCTTCATGTTTGCTGGCTGTGATGCAAAGGCTGGTCTCAAGATCCCGCCTGATCCTAAAAAAGGCGAGGCTGGCCACAGGTAGCATTCGTCAATTCGGATGCTTTGGTTGTGATTCAGCCTTGGCTTGGGGAGAGGCCTTGTTTGTGTGTAGATCTGCGTGGCACAACGGTGACCTGCCATCATGGCGCGTCGCTGGGCGATTTTTGCTGAAGAAAGTCGTCACTTCATGAACGACATGAAGTCAGCGAAGAACTTTCTTCCGGACAAGGTGCCAAGAGATCTTTTCTGGATCCTGCGGGCGGCGCACCATTTCCGCAACACCTGCCTCAATGGCAGCGAAGTCCTTTCTCCTGAAGGAGATGATCCGGAGCCATTGGTAGCATGTCTGGCGATGCTTCGCCAACAGCAGGAGCTGCCACACTGGCAGCCGAAGCCCCGCACTGGACCTGACTACTACCCTCTTGTTTACGAGGTTCACGCGGAGAGCGACAAGGAGGCCATCATCTATGGAGCAGCGCTAGGCCTCTTGAACGAAGTCAGGTTCTCGAGGGGCGGCTGCCTAGAGGTTCTGGAGATACCAGAACATCCTTGGCAGCGAAGCTCGGAGCAGGACGGCAAGAGCGAGAAGGACTGCGTTTAGGGGAAGTTTAGGGTTTAGGGTTTAGGGTTTAGGGTTTAGGGTTAGCTCCAAAGCTGAAGAACTTTATAACTTATTATACAAGGTTGCGGACCCCCCTAAACCATTACATTGAAGATTGCAGGATCCTTTCGCGATGATCACATTCGCGCGCGCAGACGTCCAAAAGCGACGGCACTTTCGCATGTGGCGAACCCAGACGTCCAAAAGCCATGCCACGTTCGAGGACGGTGAGTGCGGCCACGTTCACGCCTAGGCAAGAGCACGATCATCGTCTACAATGCGAGCAGGCCTCGAGCAAAAACCGTGGTCCGCAGCGCGCGCGCATCCGCTCTGTGCGCCGCTCTGAACCGTCTTGCCGTCAACCTATCCCTTACATGTTGGAAGCCTTTAGTGTCGATGCACTGTTCCCCTAAACCTTAAACCATAAACCCTAAACCCTTAACCCTTAACTCTTAACCCTAAACCTCAATGTGTTGGCTCTCTTGAGCAGTAGCCTCCCCGCCCTCAGCGATCAGCTGTTTGTCAGCGGCTGAAATCTAAAAAGTACGGTTCACGCCACACGAGTGCAAGCAACAAAAGGACAAATGGGCGTGGGGCACGCTGATGCCTTTGTACTTTCGTGAAGTCGGGGAGCGCGAGCAGCAGTGGCGAACGGACGCCTTCCCATCTCGTTGGCGGTTCGGCAGACAACTTGTAGCTCTCCGTCGAGACAGAGACAGTGACAATGTCCAGACGCACTTTGGCTGTCCAGGCCACAAGCTCTTTGCCAGACATGCCGCGGTGGCCGTGTTGGATGTACAGCCGGCAAGAGTGCGCATCTTTAGCGTGTTCCAACCAAGGCGCAAACCCAATGAAGTGGGCTCTGCCGGGGGGTAACTGCGACCGTGCAGATAAATCCTGGATGGATGCTGCGCTCAGGGAGTAGGAGGAGGAAGTCAACCCTGCAGGTGATCCAGCGTATTCTGCGCCGAATGCGTTTGACACATCCAGTTTGGAGGTGATTTCCCTGCAGAACCTAGTCAGGGGTGGATCGACCTTGAACATGAGTCGTCCCTGTCTAAACTTCTTGGTCGCCAGAGCGCATCCGGCTTTTGTCGCTGCTACCGAGCACGCTGCGGAACATAAAGATGGCGGTCGACAGCTCCAGTTGCCGGAAGACTTTGCAACTGAGCTCGCCCACTTGCAGAAAGACGAGGAGGACGGCGCAGGGATAGAAGAAACACGCATAAACCCCTCAAAGATTTCGTTCGCTTGGGATCCACGTTTGTTGTGTCGTTGCTTTCTTCAAGTGTCTTCTGCACAAGTTGGTCTTTTGTGGTGGTGGACGTGGGAGGAGGAAAACGCTCTGCAGCTCTATCGCCACTGGACTGAAGGCATTCCTTTTCTTGAGCACGATCGGTTCCCGTGGGTGGACCTGGACTTGGAGCCATGCCTTTTTGATGTATATTTCTCCGTGCAGCAGTGTCGTTCTTACAGAAAACCGCGAACGTGCCACTAAGCCAAGCAGTTTGTTTTTCTTTTCGCAGAAGCTGCCAAGGATAGGGTAAGCGCCAGTACTGCCCATGGTGGGGTGCATAGTTACATTGCCTACGTGGCAGCCGCGCTGCGACATGACAGTGTGCCACGCGAAGAGCTACGTGCATTGGACTATCTTCGCCCGCCGGGTAGTGAACAGATCGGTGTCGGTAGAGGCTACCAGGTACAACCCTGATTGGCATGTACAGTTGCCAAGCAACGAGGGTATCTACACAGGAGATTGTTGGAACTCTAGCAGGTTTCAGGCGAAGAAGAGAGGAAGAAGCAACCGCAATACGATCCTCATGGGTTCAGCATTCGGACGGGTCAGACGGCCATAGCCTCATTGCAGGGATGGCAACGGCATTCGCTTCTTCAGGTAGGTGCAGGCAAAAATTTCAGACCAGACTTGCATTCCTGGAAGCGTGTTTCACAGTCACTGCTTGCTTGTAAGCCAGGGTTCGAAGAAACAGCCACGCTGATCGACGGCATGTCCTTCGGGGGTGTTGTGCAACAATCCGACCGAGTGGGTGCCCAGGATGCGCCTGAGCCTAAACAGCTTCCCTAAGCCCACCGCATGTTGCCCGTGCATGTGGCGTGGCTTCATGAACCCTAGGCTTTGAACCCTAAGCCCTAAGCCTTAAGCCGCCTAAACCCTTAAAATCCTAAACGCGTCTGCGGCTCTCAGGCCAACCCATCCGATTCGGTTGGGCCTAGCCTTGAACTTCTCTGTCTTCTACTACGAGGCTCGTTCTGATCTTATGGGCTCTCGGTCCCTGAACCCTAAGGCTCTTCGTCCCTAAACCCCAAACCCCAAACCCTAAACCCTAAACCCCAAACCCTAATTTCTAAACCCCCAACCCTAAACCCTAAACCCTGAACCCCTCACGGGAAACCCTCGGCTCCCGATTCCCTCCGTTTCCTTGCCAAGCACAAGAAGCAAGGGAAACAGCCCGCTGTAGGACCCCCCGTCGTTTTTTTAGGGGTTTAGGGTTTAGGGTTTAGGGCATAGGGTTTAGGGTTTTGCCCAGTCCCGCCTTTAGTGGGGAATGTAAGTGGGTGGAGGCCAGGAGTGGGCCCGGGTTTATAAGGATTTTAGGGGGCAGAGGGTATATTCGGGTTTAGGGTCTCAGGGAAAAGGGTTCAGGGTTTATACTAGGGATTTTAGGGACAGAGGGTTCGTGGGGGTCTAGGGTTATAGGGTTTCTGGTTGTGGGCTTCCAAGCCCAAAACTTTTCTTCAGGGTCTTCTGGGCTGAGCGGGTGCGTTGAAGGTGCGATGCTACTATGCGATACTCTACAATTTCTACTGCATTCTATGCTTTTCTATTGTATTTTCCACCCTGTATTCTACGCTATTCTTTGCGATTTTACTAGGTTTTCCTGTTTTCCAGAACATTGCCCTGCACTTGTTCTGTATCATACTTTAATTCTCCCTGCTGCTTCGTCTTGGGTGGGTGGTGCCTTAAAGGATAAAGGATAGGTTCTAGGACCCTAAATCCTAAGCCCTAAGCCCTAAACCCTCCGGCAGGCCCTGAGGCCCCGAACTAGACGGTTTAGGGTTTAGGCTTTAGGCTTGGATGGTTTAGGGTTTAGGGGTTCCTGTTTTTGGGTTTAGGGTTCGAGGGTTGTAGGATATTACATTGAAGAAGCAGAGTGTCGTCTATCTTGATACGGACGGATACAGGTCACCCTAAACCCTAAACCCTAAACCCTAAACCCCAAACCCTAAACCCCAAACCCTAAACCCTAAACCCTAAACCCTAAACCCCAAACCCTAAACCCTAAACCCTAAACCCTAAACCCTAAACCCCAAACCCTAAACCCTAAACCCAAGCATGGGTCCATAAGCGATTTCAACCGGCCCCGAAGCCCAGTGAGGTGTGTTCCCCCATCAGTCCTGCGTAACCTAACCCCCAAGCGATAAGTATCCTGGGTCTAGCGCCTTTGGATCCTAGGGCTTCAAAGTGACGACGGTCACGAAGGGGAGTAGAGGTGGGGATCACACACACACACACCCTCGGGCTCGCGCGCGCATATGCACATTTATGTATGTGTGTGTATATATATATATGCTACCCCCCCCTCCAAAACCTACCGTTTTCTAATTTTCTACACTTGCGTGACGTCAAAACGCTTTAAAGATGAGACCGACTCCCTAAATCCTTTGACCTTATTCACAATTTTCTGTTGCATAAACCCTCTTCCCAAAATCCTGCTCGCTAAATCCGAAAGCACGGGATTCCTACATCGTATTCCCTAAATCATATTCCCCCAGTCCCTAAATCTGGGGCGGGCGGGGGGGGAGGGGGGGGGTGGGTCACTAAATGGCTCACTAAATCTTCTCGCTAAATCCTAAAGGGTGGGATCCCTAAATCATATTCCCATGATTTTACTCCCTAAGTCTTTTCCCAAAGCCCTAAAGAGGGAAGTCTTGAAATTCTGAAGAGGAGAGCCTCTGAATTCTAAAAGAGAATTACTACCTCCATTACGGGGGTTTCCGTATGGGGAAATACCGCCACAGTGAATGAATATTTTCCGGGGGTGTTCAAAAATCTGTCTGCAGGCTTCGTTTTTGATTGCTGAGCTGCAGTCTGGATCGGCGAAACTACAATAAATTCCTATTGTGCTTAATAGAGAATGCATACATTGCCATGGTCTCATTATTGCAGTGCCCTGCCTTTCTTATTGCGGTGGGGGGTCCCACCAATTAAACAGATGCTCGGATAAAATCTTATCGGGATCCCTAGATCTGGTTCCCTGAAATTAACTCCCTAAGGCCTAAAGGTGGGGGGCGGGGGAGGGGGGCTAAACCCTAAAGAGGAGATCCCCTAAATCCTAAAAAGCATTCCTTAGTTTTACTTTCTAAATCCTATTGCTTAAGCCCTAAAGAGGGGTGTCCTAAAGAGGGGGATCCTTACTATAAATCTTAAAGATGAGCCTCTCCGTCTACATCATAAAACAAAGAACCTTACTCAGTAGATCTTATCGCTAAAGTCAACAAAGAAGGATCCCTCAATCTTATCCCTTAATTTCACTCCCTAAATCATATTGGGGAAGAGGGGTGGGAGGGAGTCACCAAATCCTAAAGAGGGAATCTTAAGTAGCCTTAAATCCCCAAAAATGAGACCCCCCCCTAACTCATACAAAAGCCAACCTTGCTCAATAAATCTTCTCGCTAACGCTAAAACTTTAGCGATAAGATTTGCGCCCCCTTAGAAAATAGGATTTGGGGACTAAGCTTTGGGATGCTCCCCACTTCAACGCCTATTCCCTAAATCCTTCTCGCTAAGTCCTAAAGAGCGGGCTCCCCTATAATGATGAAATATGTCCGATTCAAATTTGAATCGGCCGATTCAGTTTTGAATCGACCCTCCAATTAAAGGTTGAAGTCGTCGTAGTGTTGCAATACTCACATGCATATTCATACTGTGTATTGGCTTTATATGTATGTATGAGTTGGTACGTAATCTGTGTACTCACTCAATCTCCAACGCAACAAATTTGCTTATAAGGACTTAATTTGCTTCTAAATAGAAGGGGAGAGGGCGCCAGGGGTCGGTCTTCCAAAATAAGTAGGACCAAAAAACACTCCCCACCACACCCCCCCACTCCCCTCCACTTCACTCCACTGCGTGTTCTGGGTTTGTTTAAGGGTATTGTCAGGGCTTATTCTCCAAAACCCTATCGATCCAGGGTTTAGGATTCTAACGAGAAGCCCCAAAACCCCAAGCCTATAGGGTTAAGCAATTTAACCTCAACCCTTAATCTTTAAACACCCTATAGGGTTACGGTTTAAAGGTTTAGGATTTGAATTTCAGACATGTAAACCTTGACCTACAATTTCAACGGAAGCTGAAAACTGCGCGTTTATAGCCCAAGCTGCGCGTCGAAATTGTGCACATATAATGGACCTCTTTCAGTGCTTCAATATATAATACCATGGCCTAGAGTTTTGTAAGATATTTTTTAACCATAAGAAAAATCTTCAGGACCGGGCGTTTTAAAACTCCTTGCTTAGCCACAAGAGGAGTTTTAAAACTCCTGCCACCGAAGATTGAAGATTGAAGATGTCTCAGGACTCTTTGTGGGAATCTTCAATCTCAAGTAGTCGGGGCCGGGAGTTTTAAAACTCCTTGCTTAGCCACAAGAGGAGTTTTAAAACTCATGCCACCGAAGATTGAAGATTGAAGATTCCTGGAAAGAGTTCTGGAGAATCTTCAATCTTCAATCTTCGGGGCCACGAGTTTTAAAACTCCTTGCTTAGCCACAAGAGGAGTTTTAAAACCCCCTGCCCCTAAGATTGAAGATTGAAGATTCCTGGAAAGAGTTCTGGGGAATCTTCAATCTTCAATCTTCGGG